AGAAAATAAGAATGCTAAAAAGGGAATATAAGACAAGATGTAATAATTAGTAAAGAGAATGTATGCGCCCTCCAGTGGTTCATTAGTAATCTTGAGGGTTCAACTTATAACGCTGGAATTCGGAACTTGATACCCGCGACAGGTTCAGCTTAGCTACCCCAATGTGTAGTTTTGTGGTAAAACAATATAAACAAAAGAACTAATATAATAAAGCAGAGAAATGATATAACACTGAGGCATGAAATATAATACAATAATATAAATCCAATAATATAAAACAATAATATAAATCCAATAATATAAATCCAATAATATAAAACAATAATATAAAACAATAATATAAATCCAATAATATAAATCCAATAATATAAAACAATAATATAAAACAATAATATAAATCCAATAATATAAATCCAATAATACAAATCCAATAATATAAAACAATAATATAAATCCAATAATACAAATCCAATAATATAAATCCAATTTAAATAGTTATGATACTTAATGTCGACAAAAATAGAACAAAAAAACAACAACAAAAATTAATGCCAAAAATTAGAAGAAAGTGAAATAATTATTTTTTTAAATATAGATGGTAGTTAGAAGATAATATAGATGGTAGTTAGAAGATAATATAGATGGTAATTACAACATAATATAGATGGTAGTTAGAAGATAATATAACTACCATCTATATTATCTTCTAACTACCATCTATATTATCTTCTAACTACCATCTATATTATCTTCTAACTACCATCTAGAAGATAATATAGACGGTAGTTAGAAGATAATATAGATGGTAGTTAGAAGATACTATAAATGGTAATTACAACATAATATAGATGGTGGTTAGAAGATAATATAGATGGTAGATAGAAGATAATATAGACGGTAGTTAGAAGATAATATAGATGGTAGTTAGAAGATAATATAGATGGTAGTTAGAAGATAATATAGATGGTAGCTAGAAGATAATATAGATGGTAGTTAGAAGATAATATAGATGGTAGCTAGAAGATAATATAGATGGTAGCTAGAACATAATTTAGTTTATGAATAGATGATATTTATTTATGACACACTCATACCTGTTTCAATGTTCCAGGGGTGGTCAGAATAAAATATACAAAATAACCTGGTATCCACAGCATTGACGCCATAGCCATGCACCAACCCAAAACTTCTCCCCACCAGGGGTAAGTATAGGTAGAAGCATAAGTCAGTGGTTGGTAGCGAAGGGCTGAAAACAGCAAAATTGCCTGAAAAGAGAGATATAATTAAAAATAAACATACAAGTTTCTAAAACTTATTATATTTGAAATTCTTAAATAGCTTTTTAATATAAATAGTGCAAACATTAAGTGACCCGACATAAAATGTGGTTAGATAACTAAAGCTGTGATTCCAAGAATAGGCTTTTTAACAATAACTGTCAGCACCAGTGAACTGTCAAGGATGAAGACATCATAGTTCCAAAAGCAAACATAGTTTAAATGAATATTTTATTACTCAGCATACGATTATTACATACTGTATCCGAAAAAATATCAGTGTTTCAGTCTGCTTAAAATAAAATGAAAATTCTATTCTACTTAAACGTGTACTGAATGTCTTTAATCACATGCTTGAGTAAGTCTTATTTATTGTATTTTCTAGGACTAATTAAAAGATAAGGAAATGTAATGTCCATTATAGTACTTGATTTAATTATAAATAATTTAATTAATTAGTGTTAAGCATCCTTTTTTATGACAATTTAATTAGAAATGATTTAATTAACTGTCGAATTTATGATTAATTATAGACATGATGATACATGTATTGTATGAGGCATGCCTCCTATCATGGTGGCCTAGCAATGCGCCCCTGGTGTCAACTTTTGAAACTATGACGTCTTCATCTTTGACGGTTCTCCCCTCTCCTCCCTTAAGGCAGCCAATCAGCGTGAGGTGACATCCGTTGGGCGGTGAAGTGCAGCCCTAACTACTTACAAGTTACAGTCTTTACATTAAGAAATATTAGTTGTTTAGAACAGGTACCACGCAAAATTGCAAACTTGAGAATGATCAAACCAGTGATCGAAACGTCATACGTGTTCTAAAAAACTAATCTTCCTTATTGTAAAAGCTGTATTTTGTAATAAAATAATACTTAATCAGTAAATAAACTCAAAACGAAACTATTACCTCTAAACTTAATTTTTATCAATAGTTAGGTTTTCTCACTTATGCTTTGCATTATACGTTATAAGCAAGGTATATTCTTCTACAATTTACATTCATTGTATTGCTATGAGAGGTTTACTAGAGCGATTTATTTTGGTACATACAGATTCGTTAAATATTAAAATGTTGTTATTGTTATTATTAAGAATTGGTAATTTCTTGTTTGATACTTACAACACAGACTGCTGGAGCGACAAACAGCCAACACACGATAAAATACCAGTTAGGACTAAAGCCGACCATGGTTCTAATATTTTCGGAAAAATTTTTCACGCCTAAAAAGAAAATGTATTGTTAAGCAAATAGATTCTGTCATATTTTGTAGACAACTTTGTAATTTTCTTCCCCGTTAAGCCTAGCTAAGGAAACACTATGAAACGAAAATAAATTTTCAAGATGGGGAGTAATAATTTTTCAAATAACTGTACTAGATTTTATAATCTTTCAGCTTATTTCTTATGTCAAGCTTCAAAAATTTAGGTTTTATATTTGTTTGTTTGTTGTGTTTTTATTTTCCTTTTTAGTGAACAAGATATTAGAAAGCAACGATTTTGTTTAGTCACAACAAGATATTAGAAAGCAACGATTTTGTTTAGTCACAACAAGATATTAGAAAGCAACGATTTTGTTTAGCCACAACAAGATATTAGAAAGCAACGATTTTGTTTAGCCACAACAAGATATTAGAAAGCAACGATTTTGTTTAGTCACAACAAGATATTAGAAAGCAACGATTTTGTTTAGTCACAACAAGATATTAGAAAGCAACGATTTTGTTTAGCCACAACAAGATATTAGAAAGCAACGATTTTGTTTAGCCACAACAAGATATTAGAAAGCAACGATTTTGTTTAGCCACAACAAGATATTAGAAAGCAACGATTTTGTTTAGCCACAACAAGATATTAGAAAGCAACGATTTTGTTTAGCCACAACAA